ATTTTGCATGTGCATGAACTTAGACATATATGCATCATATATGCATATGCAGTTATATTTTAAAAAGAATGATGAAACTGAAAACTCTAAATAACAACCAGAAACGAAAACATTGAAAATATTGCAGGCTCGGGCGCGGGTTAATTTGCCATTAGTTTTCTTTATCTTTAGAAAACATTACAGTGGTTTATGTGAATAAATCACTAATGTTTTATGTGATCAGCATTTACACAGACATATAAATAACGGATAGGAAACTCCGAAAATAGACGAGAGTCCAATTCAGACCCACAACCGACGATATCCGTGAATTATTGCTTACATTGCCGACATGGATTTTCATCGGAGAAATATTTGTGTGGAAAAGTGTGTTTTGTACGTTTTAGAATAAATAAATATTACTTCTTATGTAAGTAAAAAATGTTTAGTCTTTTTTGTTGATGTACCTCCGGGAATTCAACATGGCGGTATTTTCGCTACTTTTACCCAGGATGCATTAAATCTCGCAAAATCTCTTGACATATGATAACTTGCGGGAACACAATTCCGTCGATACAGATTTTAACTGTGTGACGTCACAGTCTCTTCTCCATCTTATATTTAGCTCCATGACATTTATAAAGTAATATTGCATAATCTTTTTTTCTACTTATATTTATCTTCTTTCCAGGACAATTTATATATTTAGAGCTTACTAGTAGTACACACATGTATTATATATATACGCAAAAGAATACTGTTGTATTGTCACCACAGTTTCTGTACAGAAAATTTCAATGACAATTGAAATGTGTAAAAACTCCGTTGATTCTCGCCCCTTAACAGTTCACAATTGCTAGACATTGTTTAAATTGTTCAATATACAATGCCAGATGATTAACCATAATCAACAAAGCAATTCACACACCGCGCTTTATTTAGCATAAACACTGTATAATGGAAATAAGCGAAAGCTCACAGTAATCACGCCATGCGAGCGCTAAATCAATAAAGAAACACTTTTAAATCAAGCTCTGTGGTATTTTCTGATCTTTGCAATCTAAATCGTACTGTATATCTGTATGTATTTTCCTGCATAAGTTTATTTTTATGTACTATAATTCATCTTGCAGGGCACCAGAGTTTGATACATACGGAATTTTGCATAACTAGAGTTACATCAAAAACTCATTTATGTTCATTTTTTATGACAGCCACACATCAGGGCTACTTCCTAAAAAGAAATTTCAAAAAAGGTTGCCTCGACTGGGATTTGAACTCCAGACCTCTCACACACTAAACGAGCTCGTTACCCCTGCACCACGGAGAAGTTATACATACAATGCTTGAATAAAATCAAGTCATTCTAAATTTAGAGTTACCATTGCATTTCGGGTTTGTAATCCTTATTAATTTCGAGGTTTTTTGTTCAGGATAAACCTGTTGTTTAAAATTGAAGTAAATAATTTAGCAAAAATCTTCTCGCCCAAACAGTCCAACATGTGGAATCTATATATTCCACTACTTGGCAGTCAGATTTATTTGTGTAGTATTCGGTAATCGACATCGCTTAAAATAGCATTTTCATTTTTGAATGCGTTGTAATTTGTTGGATACTTGTAACAAAATAAAAAATATTTCTGTCTTTTAAATCGCTAGTTTTAAGCTGTTTTGAGAACTACTTGTTGTTAGGTTTGTCGTTAAACCGCTGTGTCAGAGATTGAATGTCATCTTTGTATTTACTGATCTTCGATCTACTGATCTTCGACCAGAAAATACAAAAATAAATCGTGCCATTGTCAATGTACAAAAAGTAGGGAAAACAAGAAGTATCTTTTTGATAGTGAAAGAAAGCGATTTATTAAGCCATACTTCTATAGGCATCCAAACGTGATCAAGTTCGCAGAATTATTTTCCTCAGATTCAGAAACAATCTTGACACCATTAGCCATAATGGCCGGAAAAGTCATAACATACTTTAATCTTATTCGATAGTCAAACCTTACTAGCGCCCTTTTCAAAAAGTAAAGAGATACTGGTGCCACAGCTTTTTGAAACTTAATTTAAAAAAAAAAGATAGAAAAAATTCCGTCTCGCCTTATGTAAACATACCGTTTTACAACGTTTACAATTAAAATTACTCAAGCGAAAGATTCCGATTCCGCGTTACATAATATAGATCACTTTAGCCGTGTCGCGACGGGGCCAACGTGGTGGGTTTGCGGCCGGCATGGATCCGGACCGGCCTGCGCTTACAAACCCTATTACAAGTAGAGAAACTGTTAGCGAGCAGCGTGGATCCTGATCGGACTGCGCGGGTGCGCGGGCTGGTCTGGATCCATGCTGGTCGCGGGCCCATTGTGTTGGTTTTGTCGTGACGCGGCTCATTTGTGTTCAGACTGGGTATGTCACGCGGATATAGGTCACAGACTACACGCGCATTAGTCTGTAAATATAAAAATAGGAGCGTTGCCTTACGTAACGCTTCATTTAAAAACCTAATCGACATATCAAGACAAATTGAGATAATAATAAAAATCGTTCGGTGTACATTAACTTCGTTTCAATCAACTTTTCTCCGCCTATAAGTTTTTTATTTTATCATTTTTGAATCAATTTGTCATATTTGAATATAATAATTTTCTCACACTTTCTCGTAGCCTGAAGTTATATACAAAAGAAGAAACTTTAAATCAACTTTTCCTTTTCTTTATGAAAGGATCCTCGCTTTTCTAAAAATGCGATCTTTGCTAGCCTACTTTGTCCTATTTTTTACCCGAATTTAATTGTTTCATATTTTTTGGAATGTATCATGTTGTCACTTTTTGTGAACTGATGAAAAATAAAGATATTTTGACTTTGACCTTAAAAAGATACTCGGACGAGGTTACACTGCTTTTACTTGCAAAGTGTCTTATGTAGATGTTGTTCACGATCGTGGACGTTATTGGTCGTCTCGTTATTTTAGAATGACATTTCAAACTCTGTAAATTCTTATGTTTAATAAGATGTTCACCAGAGAATTAATGATTTTTTTCAAACAGTGTAAAATATTTTTGAGAGGAAATTCACAGATCTCTAATATCCGTGAATTTAACTAAAAAAGTTTGTTTCCGATACTCCTTTAGATCATTTTATTTTATAATTTGGACTTGTATATTTTTCAGAAAGATCCTTTAGATTATTATACTTATTATAGAATGGTCAATACGGTTCCCAGATTTCAGTTTGCATTTTAAATGTACTAATAAAAAATCCTTCTAATATGTAGTTCTTACCGATCTCAGACGGACTTCGTCCGAAAAAATGGTCGATTTTGAATGACTTCTATAAAAACAATGTAATACAAGAATAATTAAAATATAAAAAGTTTGTATGGTAGCACGAAGAAAAGTAGATAATACATAAAGGTATATGGCGTTGATTTTTTAATGTTCCAAAACAGTACTATAAATGATTTATGTAAGTGTTATAGTTATCTCTCAATGAAGAATTAGTCACTACTCAAGTTTGAATGAAATAATGCAAAATGGAATCAAGCATGATGTAAGTTTACATATCATTAGGCAAGATGGAATCAAGCATAATGCAAGTTTACATATCATAAGGCAAGATGAAATCGAGCATAATGCAAGTTCAAATGTCATGAAGCAAAATAGAATAAATATTTTAATTCTGTTCCATTCTACTTTTTTGCTATATTGCTTTTATGAAGACTGTTACGGAAAAAATGTTTTTACATAAATATACAAAACGATAAGGAGTTGGATAAGGAATAAGGAACTGGTTCCCTATTCCTTATTCGACTTTAATTACATTTTTTTTTCAAAATAATTTATGCAGATTCTTTATGCAATGATTTGAATGAGGTATAAATTTTATTTTAAATAAATACTAATTCTGCTGTTCCTTATTTAGATTTGAATAAGGAATCAGGAACTAGTTCCTTATTCCTTATTCGAAAAAGGAATAAGGAACTGATTCCTTATTCCTTTTTCGAAAAAGGAATAAGGAATAGGGAACTAACTTTATGTACATAACGATACATGGTTTAAATCAACAAATTATATTCCATCATTTGATTCATTTCTATTTATCTTACTGTACATAAAAGCTGTATTATATTATAGTAAGTTATCTGGAAAATAGTGATCCATCGGAAGCATTAATCACAACAAAATGTTATGAAAATTGCAGCCTCAGTTTGATTGAGTCTTTACATGAGGAGTAATGATAAAGGGTAACATCCCTCAAGCCCCTAGCACCGACTTGAGCGGTACACAATTTTCAACATGCTGGAATCAATGATCTTAAAGAACAGAAAATTAAAACAACACTGATCATTAACTCCTCTATTCTTTTATTTATCCGTAAGTCATATCATTTTGTTCGGTGCTTAAGTTGTAATTCGAATTAAACCAATATCTGACTTTAACTATTGAGGGTAATACCATTTCAGTACAGTACTTATTGTATGAATCTTATGATAAATAAACAGTAAGTAAGTAAATAAATAATTCTGCCTTTAAATTATTGTGATTTTTAAGAAAGTATACTTCCAAATCTGAAATTATGGTTTGATGAAATATAAATTTTTTTCTGAATATTTTTGTTCCTGTTAATGTTCAATGAAGAGAGAGGTAGACTTAATATGCAAATGATATACATTGTACCTATGTTAAAATCTTTAAATATAAAATAAACAGTATACTGAATATACACGTATGTTATGTAAACATCTTTTGAATTATTCTGCAACTTTTTTGTTGAATAGATATGTTTAAACCAAGACTGCATACTAAATATGACATAATTATATAGAGGATATTTGTTTAGTTCAGTGTAAGATCGGAATATATTTCACCGAGTGAGCACCAAAAGGAATATTTCACGAGTGGCGCAGCCACGAGTGAAATATGAACTTTTGGTGTTCACAAGGTGAAATATATTTCAATCTTACACTAAACTAAACAAATTTTCTTTTTATTATATGCAAAGAAACGTTTTAAAAAGGCATTTAACCTAATACTGAATGAAAAGCGCGCCAAATAATAATACAACGTGACGTCATTTACGACGTCACGTCATTAAGTTGGTACCCAGTACTGTGCACGCTGGTATTACACTGAAACAACGTAAGGGGCTTAAATTCAAAACAGTGAAATTATCAAAGTGGTAATTTCACTGTTTCAAACAGTGAAATTACCAGTTTTATATCACTGATATATTTCTATAAACCACCGAAAAGCATGTAATAAACGCATATAACTTACAAATATCATGCATGCGAAGTTCTTTACTCGTACATTAGTTCGAAAATTTGAAAACTGACTTACGCCCCTTTAGTTATTAACGCCATTGGTATACTACTTTCTTTTCTAAGGCTACGACTAAAAACGTAAGTAATCTGAAATCTTATTTATATTTTTTTCAATGGTAGCAACATTCAACATATTCTATTCAATTTATGACGAATATATATTGTATCTAAGTCCTTTGAAAAAAGGAAAAGAAAATGAATACTTAGGCCTACTGATTTAGAACAGAAAATAGGAGAGACCAAGGGAAAGTGAAACAAGGGGCAAAGTGAAACACTCACTGAATCTATTGAGCTAATCTTCTCGAGACGCAATTACTCTTCTTAGAATTTGAAAAAATTTGATTGCTATATTGTGGAAAATGACAGCTTCTTTTATATTCTTGAGAAAATTTATCGTGAACTGGGTTATGTCTTAATACCGGATATGACTCATATCCGCGAATATGGCTTTAAGTTGAAATACCAGATATGACTTAAAGTTTACAGTTACTTATTTTTTTCTTGATATGTTATTTTATAATAATAAATAATATTATGATATTACATGCAAAAAATAATAAAATTTAGTCCATAAATAAAAAGTTATAAGTTATAATCACTGCACGTTCTATAAAAGTCATATCCATGGCGGACAGAAGATACCGAAAATGACTAATATTTTATAAAGTTATTGGTTTTATTTGTTTTTTAAACGATATTTTATAATAATAAAATGATATTACATCAAAAATTCATTAAATTTAGTCTATAAATAAAAAAGTTATAAGTTATAATCGCTGCACGTTCCATAAAAGTCATATCCGTGGTGGATTGAAGATACCAAATATGGCTTATATTTCATAAAGTTATTGGTTTTTTTTTGTGTTGTTTTTTTTGATACGATAATTTATAATAATGAAATGATGTTACATGCAAAAAATCATTAAATTTTATCCATAAGTAAAAAAGTTGTAAGTTATATTTGTTGCACGTTCTATAAAAGTCATATCCGTGGCGGACAGATAATACCGAATATGACTTTAGCCATACGATGTTAAAAATAATACACTTCAACTAGATTTTCACGTATATGTACACGTATATGTACAAAAATTGAAGCTTGAATGCTGCACACGAAATTATCAAATGTATTAGATCAAAATTGTTCTGGGTAATTTTTATTTATATGAAAGCAATGCAACAATAGAAAAGTGAAAATTAAATTAAAAAAAAAAAAAAAAAAGAAAAGAAAATTATGTTTTGCACTGATGAAGGCATATAGCCGAAACGTATGCAATTAATAATTACCGAATGTTCGTGTTTGTGTGGCTTGTCTGTTTAATTAAATTATACTTCACACAGTAATTTATGTAGACAATACTTCTATTTGCAACTATATTTCTAAACTATCTTATTAAATTTAACCTTTTCAGTCGTCTTTCGGAATTGATATACAGTATCTCTTTATGCAAAGTAGAGAAATAATGTTTCAAGTGTAATATCAAGGTAAGGATTTTAGCCGCAGCTAAAAAATTTCAGCTCCTGCAAAAATCTTATTTCAAGCTGGCCAACGTCACCAAAAATAATTGTTTTAGCCGCGGTTATATTATTTTATCCCCAGAAATAAAATATTTGAACTGCGGTTAAGATATTTAAGCTCCAATAAAAATTCGATTTCAGGTCCTACAGAACTGTTACACTTTATTTTAGGCGCGGTAAAATTGGACATTATGTGGCTGGCTTTGTAAAAAATAAATATTTTTGCCAGACCTTAAATATTTTTACCGCGATTTTTTTGTGGCGATGACCGACTGTAGCCGGCCTCATCAAAAATAAATATTTGAACTCCGGTGTAAATATTCCATGTTCACATGTGTCAACCAGGTGTCGCGTCGTTTTTTGACAGCTTCGGCTATATATAATATATTATTAGTATTTATTATTTACTGCGTGTAAACTTTAAAGTTCATTTTTAATGACCACCATTTAAAAGGTCGGCCTCAATATTAAATATTTTAAACGCGAACTTATGCTGGTCATAAATATTTTAGCAGCGGCTAAAATCTTAATTTTACCGGAGTGGAAATAATATTTTGTTTTGTATGACGATGGCGAACCACACTCACTGGCTGTACTATACGGTAAAAATATTTTATTCGCGGTAGTTCAATATCGGGGTAAAAAAACATTTTAGCCGCGGCAAAAATTACATTTTTATCGGAGCTTAAATAATTTTACCGCGGCTTAAATAATATTTACGTCGGAGATAAAATAATTATGCAGCGGCATATATCATATTTATGCCGGAGCTATATTATTTTACACAGCGGCTAAATTAATTATGTTTTGATACGGTGGCCAACCATACAAGTTTTGTGCAGTTTCTGTAAAAATAATCGTATATCGACCTATGCTATTAAATATCGCTACATGTCCGGTTCCATATTCGTATATTACCCGTAGCCAGAATATGATTTACTTTTTGCACTGTATAAAGTATACTTTAACTCAATACTTTGTCGACGAATATCGGTATTGTGAAGGTCATGCTTGTCAGTCGTGCTAAATGAAAATAATAAAAGTTTTCCACTCATCACTCTGAATATTTACACATGTAAGCTTAATTTTTTTTCTTTAGTATGCATATTATATAAATAACGCGGGGTGTACGTATACATGTAAAAAGTATATATAAAATTATAAAAGAATGCAAAAAATAAGAAAAATAATTACTTATCTTTGTTAAAATAACCTTTTGTAAACACTTACTGTCAGATGTGTGTAGGTATATGTATAGCAACGGTTAGAAGTCGTAAAGAAGCAAGAGAACAAATAAATTATAAACCTTATAGAATAATAGAAGCCTGTTTGATTTACACCTAGATCCTGATAGTCATGTGTATAGTCTAATACAAATATGGTTGGGGACATAGATAGCTGTTCCGTAGATTGTACTGATTACAACCATCACAACCATGAATACCTTTATAATTTTTATAAATATATAATAACATTTTATTGCAAATAGCTGTCACACATATATATGGAAAATGTTGAAACATATACTTTCGTTTTAGATTGTTCCCGTCGCCGACGTCACAAAAACATATCTTCTCAGATGATCTTCACGTTAAGAAGTTCACCGCACAGCGTATTTTGATATCAACTACAGCAGTGTTTTAAATACTATATGCTATAGAACATTAAATTGTTATGGGAAACTATATAAAATATTTTATGGGAAACGAACAAGGAAGTTTTGGAGGGGAAGGAGGTGCAACTAGTGCTATAGCTGCTGGAGCTGCTTTAGCAGGTGGATGGGATATTCAACTAATAGAAAAGGCAGCAGGTCCTTCCGGCATTAAAAAGATCAATGCAGAGGGTCATACACCAAACCCTCGTCCTACCCAACCACGGGAAAACCAGCCACGTGCACCTCCACCACGAGATCATCTCGACAACTGATAATCCGTGCTTGTGCAGATCATTCTCGATGTAGAAACAGCTTACATGTATTAGCTTACTAGTATAAATACCATGTATTTGTCTGTCTTGTACAATGTTCACCTAATGGAAATTGATTTAATTGTATTTTTATAGTTTAATGTGCAATATTTCTCATGCCAGTGTTAACATGTACATATTTAATTCAAGTGTAATTTACTGTAGAGTACATTTACTACGGGTGATCGGGAACAAAGTACTACACGTGTAAGAATGACGTGATCATGCTGTGATGATGGAACAGTGGATTTTACAAGACCAGGAAATGAAAATGCCGAATGTTATCTGTTCGAGTAAAATACATGATAAATACAAATACAAGCAATTGATCAAGATACCCTAACACTAACTCATTTAATACTGACTTCCTCGAAGAATTTAAATTATTTGAATAAACCGTTAAATTATCAACGTCATACCCCTTCACAATTGTATAAAATACGGATTCTTTCTCTTTTTGTTCGTAATACGTGCATGTTAAATAGAAAACTATGTGCACGGTGTATTTATAACAATTAGCTAAATGTGAACTAATTACATATATTAATGAAATTGATATAAAATTAAAGTATGGACAAATTGATGGCAGATGGAAGATATATACGCATGAATTCATTAATTATTGTTTATTTTTTCAAACTTAAGAATTTATTTTCATAACTTAAAATGCAAGTGAATGCTTATAATTAACCTATGCAATCAAATGATAAGAGCATATATATTTATTTATGAATATCTGCATAAGTTGTATTGTTATAGCCAATATAACAACAACAACAACAGCATATGAAGTACCATCATATTTGTTTGATTTTATTTTCAACAATGCAAGTAACTTAACTATTGTTTTCCTTTTAACATGAGATTATTAAATAATATTTCATGATGTCAATTTGGAATATAACAGCTTCTTTGAAAATTTTTGATAATATTAACGCATATAGAATTTGCATAAAAATTAAAAATATAATAAAGGTTTTGTTTTGTCTTTGCTTTATAAGTAACCTTTTTTATATGCCCGAAAGAATTTCGTGCATATTATGTTATATCCCCTGGCGTCTGTCCGTCCGTCCGTCCGTTAGCAATTTGGTTTCCGGAGCATAACTTAAGTTCCATTTGTCCCACAATATTCAAACAGTATAGGATGATTGTCCATATTGGGTAGAACTTAGAAGACCCCTATTAATTTTGGGGTCAAAGGTCAAGGTCACTATCTCCTTAAAAATGAAAACAGTTTCCGGAGCTTAACTTAAGTTTTTTTTGGTCCACAGTGTTCAAACTTCATAGGATGAATGTACATATTGGGTAGAAGACCCCTATTGATTTTGGGGTCAAATGTCAAGGTCATTATTACTTTAAAACTGAAAACAGTTTCCGGAGCATAACTTAAGTTCCATGTGGCCCACAATATTCAAACTTCATAGGATGATTATCCATATTGGGTAGAAGATCCCTTTTGATTTTTGGATCACAAGGTCAAAGGTCAAGGTCACTATTACTTTAAAACTGAAAATAGTTTCCGGAACATAACTTAAGTTCCATTTGGCCCACAGTGTTTAAACTTCATAGGATGAATGACCATATTTGGATGAAGACCACAATTGATTTTGGGGGAAAAGGTCAAAGGTGAAGGTCACTATTACTTTAAAACTGAAAACTGTTTTCGGAGCATAACTGAAGGTCTACTTTGCCCACAATATTCAAACTTCATGGGATGATTGTCCATATTGGGTAGAATACTCCTATTGATTTTGGGGTCACAAGGTCAAGGTCACTATTACTTTAAAACTGAAAACAGTTTCCGGAGCATAACTTAAGTTCCATTTGGCCCACAGTGTTTAAACATCATAGGATGATTGTCCATATTGAGTAAAAGACCCCTATTGATTTTGGGGGTACAAGGTCAAAGGTCAAGGTCACTATTACCTTAAAACTGAAAATAGTTTCCGGAGCATAACTTAAGGTCTATTTGGCCCACATTTGTCAAACTTCATAGGATGATTGTCCATATTGGGTAGAAGAACCCTATTGATTTTGGGGTCACAATGTCAAAGGTCAAGGTCTCTATTACTTTAAAATTGAAAACAGTTTCCAGAATACAACTTAATTTCTATTTGTCCCATAGTGTTCAAACTTCATAGGATGATTGTCCATATTGGGTAGAAGACCCCTATTGATTTTGGAGTCACAAGGTCAAAGTTCAAGGTCGCTATTACCTCAAAACTGAAAAAAGTTTCCAGAGTAAAACTTATGTTCCATTTGGCCCACAATATTCAAACTTTATTGGAAGATTGCTATTTGAAGAAAGTAATACTTTATTTAATTTATGTTTTGTCTTACAAATGTTTCATATTTACTAAAAAAAGCACTTTCGGGCATAAAATGCTCCTCCTAGCGGTGCTCTTTTTTGTTTACTTAAATTTTCTTTCATACAGACCTGGACAGATCATGGAATCCTGATTTAGGTGATTTTATCATGGTATTTCATTTTAAAGATCCCGTAACACAATTTTTTGTATGGTTTCATATCAAAAATATGGTGCTCAAATTAAGATTCATTCATATTTTAAGTTCCAAAAAGCATCATTTATAAAGATATTACCGAATTTAACATTTCATTTAAATAAAGGGAGGTAATAAGAAATTTGTTTTCTATAAAATCTTAATCAAATTTTCCAATAAGAAATAAATGCATATATTTTAATGATTACATATAATGTGCACAAATATTTGCAGTACATATTTAACATATTCTTCGATGTTTGAAAATTGTTTTATAAGCATAATTATATACATTCATACTATTTCAGTTAAGTGTGGTAACAACCTCAATTACATTTACAACATACAGGATATTCAATTGAAGTATTGTCATGAAAGTTAGGAAGTTTTCTTAAAAACAAACTAATGCATAAAACGACCAACAAATTTGAAACAAGAACTTGTTTGGTAAACACAAATGCCCGGCCCAAATTTCCATCAGTAAATTGTTTTTATGCAGGTATGGAAAAAAACAACATATACATTTCTTGACAGGGCCTTGTCCTTTTGCCATTGTTAGAAATTGTAGATTGATATATCAATGCTATTTAATGAAGTTGAAAATGAAAATATTCAACTTACCAGTGAAAGTTTATCCAATATAAACGGAGCAATAAATACATGGACTTGACCTTGAACCCAGTGACCCCAAATCCAACCCAAAGTTAAAGGACCACCCAAGGTGTTTTTTACAAATATGAAAGACATAGGTAAAAATAAGGCTGAATAAGAAAAAAGAGTAAAAATATATCATTAGCACTGCCACAGATGACCTTGACCTTGTGACTGCCAACTCTGGAAATGAAAATATTTACCTTACCAATGAAAGTGTATCCAATATATTTAAATGCATGGACTTGACTTTGAACCCAGTGATCCCAAATCCAACCCAAATTTAAAGGACCATCCTAGGTGTGTTTCTATCAATATGAAAAGCATTGGTAAAAATTGAAGCTACATGCCTCCAGATGAGTCTAATTATTTCAAGAAAATCACATTTGAGAAAATGTACTAAGATAAACGTTTCAAGATTCAAGTAATATTTTACACGTTTTGTGCGATTAATGACTGATTTTTCAGTATTTACTACTACATTTGTACTGCGTTACTAACGCAGTACGGGCAAATTATGCATATTGTGACCATTTTTTGGTTCTTGACATGGTTTGTAAGTGCCATTGATAATGTGTAAATTTCATCCCTTTGGTTACTTCACAATACACCGTATTACACATTCAAATACATTTTCAAAATTTGCAAGAAAATTGGCATGAATCTGGACGCGTGCTGCTGAACCCATCGACCCCAAATCTAACCCAAATTTAATAGACACCCCAGATGTGTTTCTACAAATATGAAAAGCATTGGTAAAAAGACTGATTAAGAAAAACAGAGTAAAATATATCATTAGCACTGCCTAAGATGACCTTAACCTTGTGACTCCCAATTCTGGACCATCGAAGACACGTCCCTTCTAGATTTGAAATACATCAGTCAATAAATTAAGGATGGCTCCATTGAAAGGAAGAGGGCCAACAAAGGTATACTATGTTTATACTAAGTATGGAATACATGACAATAAATAAAGGCTGTATAAGCAAAAGTGTACAAATATATTTTTGTGATTGCCTTGACTCAACTGGCCACTTAATGTATTACTAATCAAAATATATTTCTTCTTAATAAAAAGGACATCTTCAATATGGAGTGGTTGATTTTGCAAAAAAAAAAAAAAAAAAAAAAAACATGGACATTGATGTTTACCTTTACCCAAATGACCCCTTACTAGTTACTACACACAAAAGAAAAGGCATGACCCTATTAAACAGAAAATACATCAGTTTATTAACAAAAACTATGAGCAAAAGTGTAAAGTATTTTTTACACCAATGACCTTGATCCAAAATAGATTAATCATACCAGGGCATATTTTCCATGTACTAAAAAGGGAAATAACTGGAAAAATGGAAGACTCGGATATGTAACTTGACAACGAGGGGACATCTCAAAATTGCCAAAAATCACTATTTTGCGTTAATTATTTTCCATCACAATTGATTTCAAAGTGCTGCAACTTTTCAATGGATTGCGATAGAGTCAAATGCTTTCCAGCGTTGGTTACAAATTACCTTATGATCAATCTGGGGTCATTTATAGCCTCTCACAAGTCCAAAATTTCCTTGGCGATGAGGGGGACTCCGCCCCCATTCAAACCCCCCAAACAGAAGGGGGCACATCCCCCTTCTGGCAACCCCCTGATGTATCTTTTGGTTGGGGGGGCCGCGCCGAAAAAGTGGTCACTTTTTTAACAACATTTCTCAACAAAAACAAGTGTTGGGGGCCTAAATAAGGCATTTTTTTCACCATTTGAGACAACAAAAGTGGGGGGGGGTGAAAAAGGCGTTAAAAGGCGTGTATATAACGTAATGGGTTAACAGAAAATGATGAAAATACTTGAAATTACCCTAAATCGCGTTTTTTTCATGTTTAAACATGGCCTGTCTTATAAATTTGAAGACAAATTGTTGTTTTGTAGATTTATTTATTTTTTTCATTAACAGAAAAGGATGAAAATACTTGAAATTTCCCTAAATCGCGTTTTTTATGTTTAAACATGGCCTGTCTTATAAATTTGAAGACAAATTGTTGTTTTGTAGATTTATTTATTTTTTTCATTAACCCATTACTTCATGAGCATTTTGTGAAAAATGGCTGTTTTCATTGAAAATTCTCCCGTTACAAGTTCAAATTGCTATAATACTATAAAAACTGCTTCAACACTAATCAAACTTGGCACAAATGTTGACTGGACCATTGCCCTTGCAACAAAATGCTCAGGCTTAAATTTTCTGTTACCATGGCAACGAGGGGACATCTCAAAATTGCCAAAAATCACTATTTTGCGTTGATTATTTCCATCAAAATTGATTTCAAAGTGCTGCAACTTTTCAATGGATTGCGATAGAGTCAAATGCTTTTCAGCGTTGGTTACACGTTACCTTATGATCAATCTAGGGTCATTTAAAGCCTCTCACAAGTCTAAAATTTTCTTGGCGATGAGGGGGACTCCGCCCCCATTCAAACCCCCCAAACAGAAGGGGGCACATCCCCCTTCTGGCAACCCCCTGATGTATCTTTTGGTTGGGGGGCCGCGCCGAAAAAGTGGTCACTTTTTTAACAACATTTCTCAACAAAAACAAGTGTTGGGGCCTAAATAAGGCATTTTTTTCACCATTTGAGACAACAAAAGTGGGGGGGGGGGGGGGGGTGAAAAAGGCGTTAAAAGGCGTGTATATAACGTAATGGGTTAACAGAAAATGATAAAAAATACTTGAAATTACCCTAAATCGCGTTTTTTTCATGTTTAAACATGGCCTGTCTTATAAATTTGAAGACAAATTGTTGTTTTGTAGATTTTTTTTTTTTTCATTAA